TGATTTGCCACTTTCAGACTAAGCTTAATGCAGTAAATACTCCCCCTGTTATTCCTGCTGATGTGTGTTTGTTAACTGCTAACTGGCTAGTTAGCTGGCTAACCGCTACATTCAGCAATAACACAGAGAAGGGCAATGCGCCACAGTGAAACCAGGCTGTTTAAAACTGGACTGACTGTGCTCTGGACTCTGACAACGCTGGCTGAGGCTAGCCTATCTACTTGACCCTGGTAGCAAGAGGATAATGGACCACTGTCTGCCCACTGAAGGCAGAGCTGGTGGTCCACTGGCATTTTGCTCAGTGCTTTTCTTGGCGGCTCACCAGCAGTTAAGCAGAGTGTTAGACAAAATTCCACTAATCATCGCTCATTTTCCACTCACAGTCCAGTTTACTGATTTTTCCTTCCCTCATTTCTTTAGTTCCACTTTGTAAATTAGTTTAGTAGGTGATTTTAATTCTGCTCAGCATCAGCAACATTTTCTATAAAATCATTTTATACCAGGCCTCATCATAATTTTTTTTCTCTCAGTTGTTTGTAATATTTTTCTTAGTTTATTTTCTAAAATAAAAGTCTCTGTGCCTTTCAAATATGTTTGGGGTGATTAAAAACTAGGTACAGCTTGTATGGAGGGCAGTAATCTTGGTAGTCCGAGGGTGGTCCAGCAGTGGCAAACAGTCAGCAGCGTGCTGACCTTATCAAGCCAGCGGACCCATATATGCTCACTATCTGGGGAAAAATGTGTATATGTTGTATTTTGGATGCTATAGTTGTCAACCAGCGTTAGCATGCTGGGTGACCAGCAAAACCAGCACCAGACCAGCATAACCAGAGCAGCATAAACCAGTTCTGTTTTTTTCATCAGGGCTAACTGAGACAAACTGTGTTCCCACTGAAAAACAGACTCTCTGTTGTTCCCTGTATGACCTCTGGTGACCCCAGGACCCCAGGAAGAGAGTGAACACTCAGCTACGCTCCCAGCGCTATGCTACCACAGCACTAGCTGTCTGTCTAAACACTGATGTGGAGGCGTAACCGGTGGCTGTATGGACGCTGTGGAGCTCACAGAGCTGATCTCGTTGGTCTGTGTGGTCCAGGCCTGAACAGTGTGCGGTGCTGAGTTAACTGCAGCCCTGCAGGTTTAATAGGATTATGGGTGATCAGTGCAGATTGCTGATACAGCAGATATCCTCAAAGCTGGACTAGTGGGCCAGTAATCCTCACTGTTCCTGCAGCAGCGTGGTCAAGGTGAACAGCTGAGCACACGAAGAAGATGTGGTCACCAGACAAACACACGGTTCAACCACAGCGAGAAAACAAGGCAGAGCCACACCAGGCCCAAAATGTGTTAGCATTAGCAGCCCTGGTGCTCGAATCATGGAAGCTCTGCTAACTTTCATTCAGCTGAACCTGGCTACACGTCTCCGTTCACTGAAGTCCTACACGCTAGACTAACTGCTATTAGAACAATCTCCACTTTTGATCAACTTTGTCAGCTTCCAAGTGATGAAAGCAACTTTTTCCTATTGTCTTTGGTTTTGTAATTTTGGTTGGCTTTTGTGTGTTCTGTTGCTGGGGTGCCAAAACTTTTTATCTTGGGGGGGGGGCAAGAATAATATTTGTGGGGGGCTGAGAGCCAAACAGACAAAGCAGGCTAGCAACATGTTTATTTATTGTTTTTAGCACAAAGTACTAATAATGTAAATAATTCCAGTACCCCAGTAATGTGCTTACATATGAGACCCACTGCCTTCCTTTAAACCAGGTGAAATGATATTCGTCAGTGCACCGTAAATCTCCTATTATCTCTGTACCACCCAATAGTTTTCACTCTACTGACTCATAACTAAATCTGTTGTGGTCAGTGAGAGCTGGAAGGGTTATAGAGTTTAGAAATGTAGTTATTGTAAAATTGCATCGTTTTTTTCAAGAAAAATCATAAACTAGGGAAAAAATGTGTGCTGTCTTATCGTCTGAGAGAGAGTGTGTGTGTGTGTGTGTGTGTGTGTATGTGTGTGTATGTGTATGCCTGTGCGTTGGGGGGCAAATGAAATGCCCTTGCGGGCCAACTTTGGCCCACTGGCCCCACTTCAGGCAGCCCTGCCTGTTAGCTAGCTGGTTTAACTAATGGAAGCTAAGCGTTCAGTAAAACCCAGGAACATTTGAGAATTCAGTTTTGGTTCAAGGCAGATTTTTGCTGAAAGGAACTCAAAGAAACCTCCTGAGTAGTTTTTTTCACTAAATAAATTACTAAATTCTTATTAACTATAAATTGACTTATTTAGCATATTAAAAAAAACATTTCCATCTGTTTTTCAAAATATGTGTCGTTACACAGATTTTGTGTCGTAAATGCACATATTAAAATATGTGAACACACTGGCGTGCGTGCATGTGTTGGCATATATTTAAATATCAAAAATCACACACATATATTGACCACATCTATTTTAAAGCAGCACAGTATTATTATTATTAATATTAGTGAATGTGTGTCCATATGTTTTTCTTCCACAGGGTCGACTCATCTCTTTATCACGGTTTCCACCTCTGGAACTCAACATCTGAATTCCTTCAGAGAACATGATCTATAGCATCCTCTCTCTCCCTCTCTCTCTCTCTCTCTCTCTCTCTCTCTCTCTCTGTCTCTCTCTGTATCTCTTTCATTCTCTCTCTCTTCCTCAGCTGGTCAGTCGTGAACCTCATCCATATTCAGGACAGTACTGTGTGTGTGAGTGTGTGTGTGAGTGTGTGTGTGTGTGTGTGGTGTCATGTCCATCCTGTGTAATCCTCGATCCCGCTGTTCCTCTCTGAAATCCTCTGTCTCTCAGCCAGGCCATGCTGTTAGCCGGGAAAACTCTGCTCAGTTAGCGCTCTGAACCCCCGCAGCATCACCCGTACAGTGTGTGTGTGTGTGTGAGTGTGTGAGTGTGTGTCGGAGAGTGTGAGTAAGAGTGTGAGCGTGTGAGGATGAGTTTGTGTCCGTCCTGGAGCTCGTATCTGGATCTATAACTGCGATGGCGGTCCTGCAGACGGGCGTATAGCGGGCGGTGGATTAGGCTTTAGGTGAGTCGCTCTGCTCATTCTGACCTTCTTCACACCGCAGTGGTCATTACGGCTTATTTCAAAGGCTCAGTTCAGTTTTAATGGAATTCATTTACTTCAGCATGATAAGAACTAGCATTGTTACCGTGTCATCAAGATACAGAGACTTTTACACTTTTAAACTTCTTTAAAAACTAAATTCTACTGACCTCTCACCCCCTAATTACATACGGTATTATATGATAATGGAGGAAATGTCCATTCAGCACATTTGTAGACCACAGAAAACGTTTTAAAAGCTTTCCTACATTAAAAAATGCTCATTTCAATCTTCCCAGGTGAGCAGCTCTCCTAAATAAACTTTAAAGCAAATGCAACTAGATTCTACCTAGTCTATCTATCTATCTATCTATATGTATATATAGTTTAACATACCTTTAACCCAGCTGTGCAGTTTAGCCAGCAGTAGTAGGTAAAGGACTAGCTGACCCGATTACCGTTAGCAAGACTAGCTTAGCTAGCAGCAGTTCAACTAAAACACTCCACTTAGCAAAATGTGTCCTGTCCACTTGTGGTGTCCATCCTTGTGTTTGTTCTGGCCCTGTATATGGTTGAGTTCTAGGCCCAGACACTGACCCACACACTGTAAAGTGAGTAGAACTTATGGATGTGGCCCAAATCTGGCCCGACTACACCATTAGTCAAAAATATTCATGCCAGAACTGGCCCACAAATATAGACACAAGGCAAATCTGTCAGCTGTACGGCATCTGGCCCTGTTCTGGCCCACATACCTAACATCTGCCTGGCCGTCCACCAACAATCACGCTTAGGAAGCCCGAATCAGCCCAGAACTGTCTGCTCTCTGGCTACCTACCTAGCTTAGCTACGTTAGCTACACATCTTCAACACAATAACAATACATTTACCTTCAAATCCTGAGTCTTTTCCATTTGTGTGATTCTTCATTCAGTTCCATTATTTTCTATTAATACTGATTATGGAGCTTATTTAGTTCAGACCTACAAGGCTGGTTAAAGTAGCTTGTTAGCTCAGGAGGATCTGTGCACATCTCTCGCTCAGAGAGGTTTTCACTGCTGCAGGTCTTTTATAACCCCCTTTTTAACACTTTAGAGCCCAAAGTTTTATTACACACTTCTATAAGCTAAGAAAAGCTCAGCCAGTTTGCATTAAAGTCTCTGTAGTTACTGTCTTGGTATGTAATAAGCCTGGAGTGTTAAAGGGTTAAAGCAACACTATGTAGAATTTGGGGATTTGGAGACCCCTCTGGTGGAAATGTGTAATTGCATGCCAAGTACAAAAGAACAGTTTGTAGTGTGGGCTGAGTTTCGGACCCCCAACGAGCGGATGAGTCTGACATTTGGAAGCGCATTGAAAGAGAATTTGAAGAGAACTCATATCTTCATCAGGATGATGTTGATTTTGAGATTATTTGAGGCCGAAACATCGAGCCGGACCTTCTTTCTGAGGCTGTGTGTGATGTTAATATGTAAAGACGTACGACGTGGTGTGAAAAACCTGACGCCTCTGACATTTAAATGATTATTTCAGGCTTTTCAGAGCGACTGGCAGCAGCAGATCACTATATTTTAGTGTGTTTTTGTTTTCCTTACTCAGTAAAGACCCTAATTTCAGTTTTAATAAAACCATCTTACGTAGTGCAGCTTTATTGTAGAAGTGTTCCTAGCAGAATTTCTGTGTTCTTCAATTTGTAAGCAGCCTGGAAAGGAGTGAGAGGAGGTTTTCATTTCCAGAGCTGCTCCTGTTTCCTGCTTGTGTCTACATTTCACATGCAAAACGGCCAAATATGTAAATTTTTTAGGGGAGGGTATGCAGATCCTAGTGGTTTACCTGTTTATCAGGTAGACTGCTCTGACTGACCCTGAAGACTGACCTATTTTCCATCCTGTGTGTGATTTTGATTGACAGGCGGCCATGGCCTCCCGAGTGAAACCACTCGTCCCTCCCAAGATCCTCCTGGAGGGGGTGGACGAGGTTATCGTCAGCAATGTGGAGGAAATAACGTGAGCAGTGCATTGTGGGAGCTCAGGCAGAAGCAGGCGTCTTACTCTCACTGATCACTGATTACACTCTGAGATGTAAACACTGGGCTGTTAACTATTGATCGCTTAATTTATTGATCTATCAATCTCCAATACCTACATTTAGAGTCAGTTATTCATTCAGCCTAATGAGAAACTGTAGAACAGACTCGGTTTATATCACAATGCCTACATTTAGAGTCGGTTATTCATTCAGCCTAATGTGAAACTGTAGAACAGACTCGGTTTATATCACAATGCCTACATTTAGAGTGGGTTATTCATTCAGCCTAATGAGAAACTGTAGAACAGACTCAGTTTATATCACAATACCTACATTTAGAGTGGGTTATTCATTCAGCCTAATGAGAAACTGTAGAACAGACTCGGTTTATATCACAATACCTACATTTAGAGTGGGTTATTCATTCAGCCTAATGAGAAACTGTAGAACAGACTCGGTTTATATCACAATACCTACATTTAGAGTGGGTTATTCATTCAGCCTAATGAGAAACTGTAGAACAGACTGAGTTTATATCACAATACCTACATTTAGAGTGGGTTATTCATTCAGCCTAATGAGAAACTGTAGAACAGACTGAGTTTATATCACAATGCCTACATTTAGAGTCGGTTATTCATTCAGCCTAACGAGAAACTGTAGAACAGACTGGGTTTATATCACAATGCCTACATTTAGAGTCGGTTATTCATTCAGCCTAACGAGAAACTGTAGAACAGACTGGGTTTATATCACAATGCCTACATTTAGAGTCGGTTATTCATTCAGCCTAACGAGAAACTGTAGAACAGACTGGGTTTATATCACAATGCCTACATTTAGAGTCGGTTATTCATTCAGCCTAACGAGAAACTGTAGAACAGACTCGGTTTATATCACAATGCCTACATTTAGAGTCGGTTATTCATTCAGCCTAACGAGAAACTGTAGAACAGACTCGGTTTATATCACAATGCCTACATTTAGAGTCGGTTATTCATTCAGCCTAATGTGAAACTGTAGAACAGACTCGGTTTATATCACAATGCCTACATTTAGAGTCGGTTATTCATTCAGCCTAACGAGAAACTGTAGAACAGACTCGGTTTATATCACAATGCCTACATTTAGAGTGGGTTATTCATTCAGCCTAATGAGAAACTGTAGAACAGACTCAGTTTATATCACAATGCCTACATTTAGAGTCGGTTATTCATTCAGCCTAATGTGAAACTGTAGAACAGACTCGGTTTATATCACAATGCCTACATTTAGAGCGGGTTATTCATTCAGCCTAATGAGAAACTGTAGAACAGACTCAGTTTATATCACAATGCCTACATTTAGAGTCGGTTATTCATTCAGCCTAATGAGAAACTGTAGAACAGACTCAGTTTATATCACAATACCTACATTTAGAGCGGGTTATTCATTCAGCCTAATGAGAAACTGTAGAACAGACTCAGTTTATATCACAATGCCTACATTTAGAGTGGGTTATTCATTCAGCCTAATGAGAAACTGTAGAACAGACTGAGTTTATATCACAATACCTACATTTAGAGTCGGTTATTCATTCAGCCTAATGAGAAACTGTAGAACAGACTCAGTTTATATCACAATACCTACATTTAGAGTCGGTTATTCATTCAGCCTAATGAGACACCGTAGAACAGACTCAGTTTATATCACAATACCTACATTTAGAGTCGGTTATTCATGATGGTGATGATGATGATGATGATGATGGTGTGTTTCTGTCTGAAGTAACAGGCAGTGCTGTGAAGCTCTGTTCAATGTCAACAACAGCAACAACAATGAAGAGTGAGTAATACACACATATACAACATCATACGGCAAAGGGGCGTGGTCTAAACAGCCTGGAGTACAGTTTTACATTTCTAAGTAAATATTAACGCTGTAGTGATTTTAATACCTCACTGAAGAACTGAAAAGATGACTGTATATAACTGCATAACTCTACACCCCTCACTGTTTTCAGAGCATTCTCCACTGACACCACTGTCAGTGATCAAAACTAGGCCTCTGGGTGTGGCCTATCAGAGTGAAGGGGTGGGGAGGGGCGGGGCTTATGCTTTGGACTCAAATGACTGAGCTTTAAGCTCTAGGAGTTTTGATTCTGGGGTATATTTTATTAAAGGGCTGTTGGAGAACTTTTATTCAGCTGTGCTGAACCAAGAATAGAATTAGACCTCTAGAATCAAGACATTTTGACTTAAATTCAGTTTTGAAAATAGAATCAATCGTTCACCTCAGAATCGAACATCATTGAGATGATAAATGTCAAAACGTGGTCAAAATTAGGAAGAACTCGTCTACGATAATGCTAATTTCTGCTAGCTCTCCTATGGGATTCTAATAGTATGTTAGCGCTAAGCTAACGGTGATGCACATTAATCTACATTAAACACAGACATTTGAATCTTGTAACAGACATTATCATCTATCTGAGCTTGTGTGTCTCAGTGTTACAGTGACACTGTCAGTAAAGAGTCCTGCATAGAGCTGCAGCCACTGTTTAACATTCCTAACAACTAACCGGAACACTGCTTAGACTATGGCTCATTTTCACAGACAGTGACGTATCTAGAACCTCCAGAAGGACTAGAGTGATGTTTTTACTCACTCATTGTAAATCAGAGCATGATTGGTTGGTTCTTCTGTCATTTCCTAATTATGTAGATAGTTAATCTAACTTGTAAGGCCTTCAGTCCAGCCCAAGTCCTGACCAATGAGAGAGCAGCACAGCTGTATCTACTTACATACCACAGAGAGAACAATCCTGATTGGATGATTTTCTGTTGGGTTTTTAACCCTTTTGTTTCCAACCAAAACCTAATTAAGATCATTACTAAATTCACTTTCAGTACAACAGGAATGATGATCATATTAAACTGAAAATTACAAACACGATTTTTTGGTTAAAATAATGAGGCAATGATTTTTACAGCGCTCAGATCTGATGCACATATAATCCCCCAGAATAATGTTCACACACTCCAATCTGCGCTCTTCATTCTCCACAGGGAGGAGAAGGAGAAGAAGAAGAAGGAGAAGAAGGAAAAGAAAGAGAAGAAAGAGTAAGAGCTCATCTACAACACCCCCCCCACACACACACACCATTCCTCTCACTGCATTCACTCACTCTCCCTCCTTCTCCCACGGCAGGAAGAAAGAGAAGAAGGACAAAAAGGAAAAGAAGGAGAAGAAGAAGGACAAAGAGAAAGAGGAGAAAGAGAAAGAAGAGAAAGAAAAAGAGAAGGAGAAGGAGAAAGAGAAGGAGAAAGAGAAGGAAAAGGAGAAAGAGAAAGCCAAGAAAGAGGAGTACGACATTAACAATTAAAACACTGCCACTGCTATTAACTCTACAGCTTTTTGTTATTCAGCATCTACTATGAATTATTTAGTATCTACTATGAATTATTCAGTATCTACTATGAATTATTCAGTAGATACTATGAATTATTCAGTAGATACTATGAATTATTCAGTAGATACTATGAATTATTCAGTAGATACTATGAATTATTCAGTATCTGCTATGAATAATTGGTTATATTATACTGATTATATTAATACTTATGGTGTGCAGTAGAGACTGTAAGGGGTTAAATCAATTCTGATGGAGTTATTGATTATATTAATACTGATGGTTTGTGTAGAGTGAGCTCATTTCTCTATGTGTCTGCGCGCGTGTGTGTCTTTGTGTGTGTGTGTGTGTGTGTGTGTGTGTCTTTGTATGTGTGTGTGTGTGTGTGTGTGATCAGGCCGAAGGACATCGTGGTGTTTGACCCTGCGGGGAACATGTACTATAACTGGCTGTTCGTCATCACCTGTCCCGTCATGTACAACTGGGTACTCATCATAGCCAGGTAGGGGGCGCTGTCTGACCACATTGGTCATTCAGCTGCATCAGTTTTACCACCAACTGTAATTGATTATGATAATATTTATTAATGTATGCAGTCATATTTTGGCTGAAGTCAGTCACACCATTTCTATACTGCCTCCAAATATAAAAGCTTGGTGTGTTGTTTTTATCATCTGTATTAATGTGTAAACTGTTCAATCAGGTCTATCTGTTTATGCACTGTGTGTGTGTGTGTGTGTGTGTGTATGAGTGTGTGTGTGTGTACAAGTGTGTGTGTGTGTGTATGAGTGTGTGTGTGTGTGTATGAGTGTGTGTGTATGAGTGTGTGTATGAGTGTGTGTATGAGTGTGTGTGTGTGTGTATGAGTGTGTGTGTGTGTGTGTGTATGAGTGTGTGTGTGTGTGTATGAGTGTGTGTGTGTGTGTGTATGAGTGTGTGTGTGTGTGTATGAGTGTGTGTATGAGTGTGTGTGTGTGTGTGTATGAGTGTGTGTATGAGTGTGTGTGTGTGTGTATGAGTGTGTGTGTGTGTGTGTATGAGTGTGTGTGTATGAGTGTGTGTGTGTGTGTATGAGTGTGTGTATGAGTGTGTGTGTGTGTGTGTATGAGTGTGTGTATGAGTGTGTGTGTGTGTGTGTATGAGTGTGTGTATGAGTGTGTGTGTGTGTGTATGAGTGTGTGTGTGTGTGTATGAGTGTGTGTGTATGAGTGTGTGTGTGTGTGTATGAGTGTGTGTATGAGTGTGTGTGTGTGTGTGTATGAGTGTGTGTGTATGAGTGTGTGTGTGTGTGTATGAGTGTGTGTATGAGTGTGTGTGTGTGTGTGTATGAGTGTGTGTGTATGAGTGTGTGTGTGTGTGTATGAGTGTGTGTGTGTGTTTAAAAGGCTGTTTCTCTCTTTTTCACAGAGCCTGTTTTGAAGAACTGCAGCACGATTATCTGATATACTGGTTTATCTTAGACTTCACGTCAGACCTGGTTTACCTGGCAGACATGGTCTTCAGGACACGCACAGGTGAGCGTCTGATTCCTGCAGTGTTTCGCATTTCCGTGCCGCAGGTTTTATCAGTCTAATGGGAAACGCTCTGTAAATAACTGGTCTACTGTACTCCTCATGATCGTACTGTACTCCTTAAGTACAGCAGGGGGCTGCTGGGATGTCCACAGGTACTCAAGGACTCGTTTAGCTGTTCGAGGTTCCAGTGTTTGAGTACTGAAATCACCATTGGGGTATCTTTTACGTTTCATCATGGAAAGACGGAGAAAATATACAGACCAACAGTTCAGTAAATCAACAGTTTTATGTTTTAACAGAACTGCAGAACATGGTTGTCGACGGCGTGTAATAAAATATTCAGCCTGATCCTAACTTAGCAACTCTACCCTCCTCTGACAAACAGGCCCTGATGGTGCAGCCAATAATGGACATAAACAGATCCTCCTTCTTTCTAGATGCAGTTAAACAAGCTGAGTTTTGTGATATAAATGGAGCAACTACATGCAGACTGGTTACAGTCAGAGAGACTGTATGGGGACCTTTCCCTAAGGTTTTGGAAAGGGCCACCCTGTAATCATCCCTGTTTTCTTGCAGTGAAACCCAAAAGTGCTGGTCCCAACATCAGGAGATTGTGAGCTCAATTCCCAGTGATGCCACAGCCCTCCGTGGCCGGGAGTCCAACAGGGCACAATTATCCTGGCTCTGTCTGGATAGGGTGGTCCTCCCTCTCCCTGCGTCACTCAGAGCGAAGCTAACCAGCGCAGGCGTCTTCTAGCTGACATAACAGGACTGCTACTTAGTGTTCTCCTCCGAGCGTGTTGATGCTGCATGAGTGGCAGTTTCTAGCCTTCACCCTCTTACCGCTGGTAGTTTTGTGTGACTGGGGGAGTCCTGTGTGGCACTGGACACAGCTAAATTGGGCAAAGCAGCAAAAAAAGAAAGCCCCTTGTGTTGGCCTTCTTTCTTGTTCTGTTTCTCTGCTCTTTGTTGTGTACAATAAAACTACAATAACAGAAAATACAATATAAAATAACTGTAAAACATGTTAAAACAAAGTTATGTTCGTGTGTGATGTCGTATACTGCTGCTCTGAAACATGAGCATCTTACTAAGAACGCTTTGTTAAGAACGAGACCGAGACGGCAGAGATAGCACGACCTTATCGCTGATGTTCGGTCCAGAAACAGTGAAAATACTGTATATTTCTCTGAGGTGTTGACACGTCGTCCAGTGAAGAGGAAAAAATAATACCTATAGAAGATGATGAGTCCTCATCAGTGTCCAGTGCTGTTCAGGTCAGAAGCTCATCTGAAGGGGCAGCCTCTGTTACTCGTCCAACACGGACACCTACTGATCTCCCTCAGCTGTTTCTAAATGATAAAGCATGTTTTGAAATGTGTTTCTCTGCACTGTAGTGTAAAACGGTCACCCACAGCTGTAGCCAAAGTTGTCCCTGCCTGTTTGTAGGTGTCCCCAAAACATTCTGACTAAACATACATTCAAATTGTAAATAGGTAATAAAATATGGATTTGCATCGATATTGTCACTATTTAAACATTGCAGTGTTGTACTGTGTCAAACTACACATGCCTTTTTGAGTATCTTGTAGAAGATGAGTCTGGATATCTGCACATTTGCATAACCACGCCCCCTGCCTGTGTCTGTAGGCTATCTGGAGCAGGGTCTGCTGGTGAAGGACGAAAAGAAGCTGCGGGCACGCTACATGGACAGCGCCCAGTTCAAGCTGGACCTCGTCTCCATGATCCCGACGGACTTCCTGTACTTGATCTTTGGATTGAAGTACCCGGAGATCCGGATGAACAAGCTATTCCGGGTCAACCGGCTGTTTGAGTTCTTCCAGCGAACGGAAACCAGGACCAACTTCCCCAACGTGTTCCGGATCTCCAACCTCGTCATGTACATCGTCATCATCATCCACTGGAACGCCTGCCTCTACTACTCCTTCTCCAAGGCCATCGGCTTCGGCAACGACAGGTTCGTCTACCCGGACACTTCTGACCCCGAGTTCGGCCGCCTGGTCCGGAAGTACGCCTACAGCATGTACTGGTCCACCCTCACCCTCACCACCATCGGCGAGACTCCGCCCCCCGAGAAGGACTCCGAGTACTTCTTCGTGGTCACAGACTTCCTGGTGGGCGTGCTGATCTTCGCCACCATCGTCGGTAACGTCGGCTCCATGATCACCAACATGAACGCGGCCAGAGCCGACTTCCAGGCCCGGATCGACGCCATCAAGCAGTACATGAGCTTCCGGAAGGTCTCCAAAGACCTGGAGAAGCGCGTCATCAAGTGGTTCGACTACCTGTGGACCAACAAGAAGGCGGTACGTAACGGAGATCGGCATTTGAACCGTTTTTGCTATTTGCTGTGGATGAGTCGGCAACTGGAGGGTTGTGGGTTCAAATCCCAGGACGGACTGAGTATTCCTGGTTTTCCCCTTGGGCACAGCACCCAACTCCCCACCGCCCCTGCTGTTGCTCTGCTGGTTATGCTGTGCTGCTCCCAGACTGAGCATAGTTAGGCAGTAAAATGACAAATTTCCCAACAAAGTGCATGAATAATGTTAAAATATGCCAAAGAATTATAGTTTTATTGTTGCATGCATATTTAAAAAATTACAGTTTTTATTTACAATGTTTATATGCCGGCCCCTTTGCTGGAGGGTGCACGCATCCCATGAGCATCTGCGTGTGGTCAACTGCATAGCCACACCTCCAGACTGTCTCAGCGCCTGTGCCAGCTGGTAGCAGGATGCTACAATACTCTAGTTTGGACGCTGCCCCCTAGTGCACACGTCCAGGAACCTAAATCTGTGTTTCTATCAAAGTAGCCCAGTCTTGTTCGTGTGGGCCACAACTTACTCACACAAAGAGAATGACATGCCAGTGTCCAATATGTGACCTTTATCGGTCATTTTCCTCCTTCTATTTTAAGTGCACTCTTAAAAAAAGATAGGTCTTCAAGGGTTCTTCAGATTGATGGACAAGAGAAGCTGTGGAAGGTTCCATATAGAGCTTTGTCAAACTTGTATCAACAGAAGATCCCTTTTGTTTGCTATATAGAACCCTTTTCAAAAAAGCTCTATATAGAACTCTATATAGATCTCCATCAATCTGAAGAACCCTTAAATCATGCAAAGGGTTCTTTGAGTGTTCATGGTTCTATATAGAATCATTTTCTTTACTAGAGAACCATTGCAGAACCATCTTTTTTAAGAGTGTGGTTGGTCCTAATCTTATGTAGTGCGTCTGTAAGCTGTGTCCTCACCGATCACTAGGCTGATTTGGTTTGCCCCGCCCACACAGCTTTAACAAAACTGTGTATCCCTACAGTTGCTCTGTGTAAGCTAAGCACCAAGCGAAAGCTACCCTGGTGCACATAACTGAGCTAGTAAGAATGTCAGTTCGTCCATTTGTTTGTCCACTCCAGGGTTCCCTGGATGCAGATCCAGCAGTGAGGTGGATAAGAAGCTTCTTTAAGGCATCTCTCTGTATAAACGCTGGGCGTGTTTTCAGTGTAGCGGGCTGGGCGTGTTGGTTCTCTTATTTTGATAAAAACTCATTGTTTTCCTTGAAGCATGTCCAACCTCACAACAGTAACTATGACAGAACACATTTGTGGGCGGAGTCAATTAGACTTAACAGGCCTGCGTTACATAGATGGGACACTAAATACCATGTTTTGTATCACACTATAAAAGCATGTGACCTGATTCTGCTCCAGGTGGACGAGCGTGAGGTGCTGAAATACCTGCCGGACAAGCTGAGGGCCGAGATCGCCATAAACGTCCACCTGGACACACTGAAGAAGGTGCGGATCTTCGCGGACTGCGAAGCGGGGCTGCTGGTGGAGCTGGTGCTGAAGCTCCAGCCGCAGGTCTACAGCCCTGGAGACTACATCTGCAAGAAGGGCGACATCGGCCGAGAGATGTACATCATCAAGGAGGGGAAGCTGGCCGTGGTGGCGGACGACGGCATCACGCAGTTCGTCGTGCTGAGCGACGGCAGCTACTTCGGAGAGATCAGCATCCTCAACATCAAGGGCAGCAGAGCCGGAAACCGCAGGACCGCCAACATCCGCAGCATCGGCTACTCCGACCTCTTCTGCCTGTCCAAGGATGACCTGATGGAGGCGCTGACGGAGTATCCAGAGGCCAAGGCCATGCTGGAGGAAAAGGGACGGCAGATCCTCATGAAGGTACGAGGCAATAGTTGTTCAGAGTGGTTTGGTGTGAAATGCTCTGTTCTAGATAAACGTACCGAGTCAGAACTGTTCACAGTGGTGGTGATAGGAACCAGACGTCCACCTCTAAAAGCTCCCTCACAGAAAGTTCCTACATGAAATGGTTATGAATTCACTGCCTGATGACTGAGACACTGTTTATGATAGTTTAGAGAACTTAAACTCCATTCATGGTGGAGGGATACATGCAGGGCGCTGTGAGGCAAAATAGTCCCCAAAGAAAACTTATTATTTCAGATTTTCCACTATTTTCCATCATCAACATTCATATAAACTCAGAAGACTCGTGTAGGTTCACTGGTGGTTCTGGACAGTAAATAAAATGTCTATATTAGTGTTGTAGTCATGGCGACCCCTGGTTCCCATCACCACCACTGTAAAAAGTGAACAAGTAGTATTGAGTATGCCTAAACTTGAATTATGTTGCTATGGTAACCAGAAATATCAAATATCTTGGTGAACTGATTTTTCATGATGGTGTTGTAAAGCGCTTAACCAAGAAGAGCACTTAAGGAGTTTAATTCAAGTGTCTTAATTCGATTCATCCTTTAATTATTTAACCTGAGGTAAGTATTTAAGATGTTTTTGAGCAGATGCAGATTCCTCATAAGGAGCTCAGACTTACTCCTCCTTTCACAGTCTCCTACATTTGTAGGTGATGGCTAAATGCTTAAAATGGTCAGAAGTACAAAGACAGTATCACTTAGCTGGGTTTCCATCCACTTATTTTGATATACCGAATAAAAATTGATAGATTTTTTGCCAGTAAATGATAAAGGCGATAAAAGTTGTATGAGGTGATTCTGTTGTTTTTGCTTTGTTGTTTTGTTGTTAGGTAGGTTGACCATGTTTTGGGAGACACTGGGGGAAGGAGGGTGACGGGCCAGACTGTAGAAAGCAAATGTCAACACGAAAGCGAAACCAAATCCAAGACATTTTAGGCCACATGTATCAGGGTCGAGTCCTTACAGGCCGAAACTCTGCAGACTTCAGCTCACTGCCTCATTAAACACACCTGATTCAGCTCATCAGCTAATTAGCCAGGCGTTCATGGGCTGAATTCAGAGCATAAACGCTGATCTCTGCAGCACTTTGACCTGGAGAGGCCCCAGTTTGATTCGCCTGCTTCAGGCAGTATAGAACTCCCAGTCAGACACTTTTTAAGGTCCCAAAAAGAGGACATGTTCTGGAAAGTGAGGACGTGTGGTCACTCTATGTTAGGAAAGAGTGCAGAAAGCAGCAGATACCACTAAAAACGAGCAACGAAATTACGTTCATATCAACTGAATGCAGCACGTTGAATGATTTCATTCTGCTGATTTTCACTGCGAGTAAATTTCTTGCACAAAATTTTACATGGAGTTCAACTTTGGTGACCTTCCACACACAAATTCACATCCTCGACCATCTAGGCTTCTGTGCTGCTGTCTGAAGGCCCAGGGCTTCATTTAGCAGCCCTGAACCTCCAAAGTGCAGGAAATGCTCAGTTCAGCAGCGCTTAGGCACAAACTGACTTTAAATAAACACAGCAGAGAGACGGTATGATACACAGCCAATCAGGAGGCTGTATTATTATCTTTCCCCTGGGATTTTACTGTTAATGGTAGGTGAGTTAGCCAGCTGGCTAACTGCTATGTTAGCTCCTTGGCTAACTGCAGCTGCACACAAGTCACCCCACTGTCACCAGCCACACCAGTATGACCTACAGTTTCTCCTACAGATCAGGGTTCAGCACTGTAGTATGGCAAGACTGTAATGTATCTACCTGTCTATCTATCTGTCTATCTATCTGTCTATCTATCTATCTGTCTATCTGTCTGTCTATCTATCTATCTATCTATCTATCTATCTGTCTGTCTATCTATATGTCTATCTATCTATCTGTCTATCTATCTGTCTATCTATCTGTCTGTCTATCTATCTGTCTATCTGTCTATCTATCTATCTATCTATCTATCTATCTATCTGTCTGTCTATCTGTCTATCTATCTGTCTGTCTATCTATCTGTCTATCTGTCTATCTATCTGTCTGTCTATCTATCTGTCTGTCTATCTATCTGTCTATCTGTCTGTCTATCTATCTATCTATCTGTCTATCTATCTATCTGTCTATCTATTTGTCTATCTATCTATCTATCTATCTATCTGATCTATCTATCTATCTGTCTATCTGTCTATCTATCTATCTATCTATCTGTCTGTCTGTCTATCTGTCTATCTATCTATCTATCTATCTGTCTGTCTGTCTATCTATCTGTCTATCTATCTATCTATATATATATTTTATATTATATTTATATATTTATGTATTTATTTTTGGTCCCCAGTCTCCTGGTCCAGTCTTGGTCATTTCAGAAGGCAACATGTCTAGTGAGACTGTGACTTAATGCAGAAATTAAACCTTTACCTGATCAAATAAACTGATCATGATTTTGGAGGGTAATCAGATATAAACTCTTACAGAAAAGTCACGTGTGCTTCACACGTGAACGTGTCTTTGTGAGTGTGACATAAAAAGTTTGATTCTTTTATACAGAGCTTAAATATTTTTGCATGATATTTCAGTTATTCGTTTGAATTGAATTGGACATCTGGGCGGAAACCTGTGGTCAGTGTGTTTTAGGTCCGTCGGAAGGAGTCTGTCCCAAACCCCAACCACTAAATTTACACTTCTCCTTACTTTTATTTGTTTTTTTTACTTTCTTTTTGATTTCTTTTAACATCAACATCATACTGCTTTATAGTACCCTGGTTAATTCTGCCCTGTGGATTCATTCAGTTTATTTTCAGGCATTTGTTTGCTGCTCTGGGCATTTATTTACTGTTTTTATGTGTTTGTTTACAGTTCTGTTGTTCTGTTTACTGATTTTGTGTTTACTGTTCTGTGTGTGTGTATTTTTTTAATGTGTTTGTTTACATTTTTATGTGTTCACTGTTTCATGCATTCTTTTACTGCACTGTTTGTTTGTTTACTGGCTTTACGAGTTCATTCACTGTATTTTGTGCATTTGTTTACTAACTGTGTTTTGTTGACTGTTGTGTTGCCTTGTTTACTGTATCTCATGTGTCTGGCTACTGTTTCATGCATTTGTTTACTGTATTTCGTGTGTTTGTTTACTGTTTTGTGCATCTGTTTAATGCATTTCACCGATTTGTTTACAGTTTTGTGCATTTGTTTACTGTATTTCACACATTTATTTACTGTTTGCGCTTCTGTTCACTGTATTTCGTGTGTTCGTTTGCTGTTCTGCAGGACAACCTGCTGGACCTGGAGGTGGCCAAGCAGGGTCCAGACCCCAAAGACATGGAGGAGAAGGTGGTGAGGATCGGCTCGGTTCTGGAGGACCTGCAGACCCGCTTCGCCCGCCTGCTCGCTCAGCACGAGGCCGTCCAGAGCCGCCTGAAGAGACGCGTCACCAAACTGGAGACCAAGATCACCACGTCCGCCGGAGTGGTCTTTTCTGAGATGGTCCAGCCGGAACAGGACGCTGCACCTCCACCTGCAGAGGAGGAGAAGAAGGAGGATGAGAAAGGGGAGGAGAAAGGGGAGGAGAAGAAGGACGGAGATGAGCAGAAGTAGGAGATTTAGCTCGTGGACTTCTTGTGTGAGGTGCAGACCCGCTGAGGGTCTGGACCAGATCTGGACCTGCTCGGTCATTTTAGTGACGGCATCGTGTGTTTTATTCAGTATGTGGGTCAGTTTTCACCCCCAACACACCCTACACACACAGTGAATGAATGCAATATTATTTTATTTGTTTTGTTTTTTCATTAATGTGAAACTCCTGGACTCAAACTATCTAACAAGGGGTTTAAATCGAGCTCCCATCATCAGAACCAGAACCAGGTGACTGGACAAGCCCTTAAAGAGTTAAGAGTTAAAGGTTCAAAACCTTCACTCTTACAAAGATGGTTCTTAAAGGGTTCTTTAACAAAGAAAATGGTTCTATATAGAACCACAAACACTCAAAGAACCCTTTGCATGCTTAAAGGGTTCTTTGAATGGTGAAATGGTTCTTCATACTGATGGAGAATGTGTTTTTTGAAAATGGTTCCATATAGCAGGCAAAAGGGTTCTTCTTTTGTAATGATGTCACGAAGAACCCTTTTGGGTGCTGTGTGGAACCCTTTTCAAAAAGGTTCTATATAAAACCATCTATAGCACATTAATTCTCATTCTCCATCAGTCTGATGCAAAGAACCCTTTAATCCTGAAAAGGGTTTTTTGAGTGCTCACGGTTCTACATAGAACCATTTCTTTACTAGAGAACCTTTGAAGAACCTTTTTAAGAGTGTACCGTTCACTCTGCAGTCCATACGGTCCATACATGGAAACTGAGCAGCAGAAAATCAGCCTGTTTTGAATTTTTTGCTTTTGTGATGTCACAAAAACCAACACAGTTACATGCTGTATATATCCACCTATGCAGCCTACAGTTTAGCCCCACCCACTCACACTGGGTGTTTCAGCCCAGACTGCTGTCTGAATGAGTCACAGCCAATCAGAACAGAGCTCATTCACACAGATCAGTCTTAAAGGCACAGAACTGAAAACAGCCATAATTCTAAGAGATGAGAAAGAGACTGTTTTCAGTACATAAAACCACAGGACCATCGGAAACGGACAGGAAATGAAGGATACGGGCCCTTTAAAGACGCTTTTACCGTGACACATCACAAACATACATGATCTGTGTTTTATGAGAGTTAAATATGTTAGTCTGTTGTTTATATGTACATATGTACATTCATAGTCATCATGTTTCATTATGCTGTTGTGCTTTGGGCCCTAAACTGCTCCACACGTCAGTGTCTTACTAGCTGGCTGACCGGTCCAGTACAAACTGTCAGACATGAAAAGCTTGTATTAAAGGGGAATTCTACCCATTTTTAACAAAAGTTCTGCACAGTTCAGTGTGTGAGGTGTAATCAGAGAGATTCAGAGTGGTTTGGTGTGAAATTGTTCAGATGTCTTTACAGTGGTGGTGATAGGAACCAGGGGTCGCCATGACTACAACACAGATATAGACATTTTATTTACTATCCAGAACCACCAGTGAACCTACACGAGTCTTCTGAGCTTATATGGAATGACTGTTTACTTCTTAACCGTTTAATCATGCAGAAATTTCAGAAAGTTGGTGGAGTTCCCCTTTACTCACTCTCATCCTTGCATAGTGCACTTTTAAGTAGCTCCCTGACAAAAAAAAACCCGTTTATTTAATTACACAAGTGAAGACCCCGTGTAGAGCAGGTCATTATCAGTAGTGGTAGTGTGACTGAGGTATGCTGCACTGTCTGCTGGCGCTGTATTTCACATGTCCTCAATAAAGTATTTTTGACCTGACGTGTTTTGCCGTTTTGAATCTGACCGAATTCATTCTGCATCACTGAATTGATCTAAAATAAAAATGTTAAAAATACACACATTTAAAAAAAAACAGAATCAAGTGAACCTCTGCACGACACGTTGCGCTTTTCCGACGTGGACGGGAGTTGTAGTCTTTTCAGGGCACCTGGAAAACGACGAGAGCCCGTAAAAGAACTACACTTCCCATGATGCGCGGCGGTTCCTGCGGAGCGCGCATGTCAACGGACGGAGTGCGCGGTCCCGGCGGCTTGTGGTGAGTTAGCGGTGGGTTTTTGTGTTCTGGGTGACACGAGTTCGGAATTAAACTCGAACTTTCTCTCTGAAACCGGCTCGGGAGGTCCAGAGCTGACCGCGGGGACAGACGCGCGGCGGTCCCAGCTCGCAGTTCGCCCGCACTCACTGGTTTAGCGGGCTAGCAGGTTCGGCTGCGTCTAATTCGAATCTCCCCGGTCCACCTTAAACGGGGCAGCAGTTCCATTCTGCGCTTTGGGCTTCGGGCGCCGGAATGGAGCTGCTGCTCCATTTAAGGTGGAGCGGGGAGGTTCGAATAAGACGCTGCCGAAAAGGAAACTTCAGCCTCGTAGAGACGAAGAACCAGAGCTCCTCCTTAGCAGCCTGGAGTTAAACTACCGCTGCTGGACCCCCTCACTTCCAGTTATTCAGAGTATAGATCACCTGTTATTCAGATTATAGATCACCTGTTATTTAGATTATAGATCACCTGTTATTTAGATTATAGATCAGATGTTATTTAGATTATAGATCAGCTGTTATTCAGATTATAGATCAGCTGTTATTTAGATTATAGATCACCTGTTATTCAGATTATAGATCACCTGTTATTTATATTATAGATCACCTGTTATTCAGATTATAGATCACCTGTTATTTAGATTATAGATCACCTGTTATTTAGATTATAGATTATCTGTTATTCAGATTATAGATCACCTTTATATGTCCATAAAGTCCTGAATGCTTCTGAACCGGTTCGGCTGTGTAGTTTCATCTCTATATACCAGCCTTCATATTAAGTCCACCTCCTTGTTTCTGCACTCACTGTCCACTTTATCAGCTCCACTGACCACATAGTTCCACTCTGTAGCTCTGCAGTTACAGACTGTAGTCCACCTGTTTCTCTGCATACTTTGTTACCCTGTTCTTCAGTGGTCAGGACCCCCAGAGAGGGTGGTGGGTCATTCTCAGCACTGCAGTAACACTGACGTGGTGGTGCTGTGTTAGTGTGTGTTGTGCTGGTCTGAGTGGATCAGACACAGGAGTGTTTAAACACCTCAGTGTTGCTGCTGGACTGAGAACCAAAAATGTCCGGACAGCAGCGTCCCAGCCCGACTACTGCCGTGAAGTGTTTCTGCTTGTTGTGACTTTCTTGTGTTTTCTCCGTTACCTAGGCGATCTCCATGGAGCCGGCTTGGCGACAGCAGGGGAGAGGGCGCGGCCGGGGTCAGACGAGGGGTCAGACTCCTGGTGACTTGTTGCCAGGGCGACCCCAGAGAGAAGAAGATGGGGTGAGTGTGGGACGAGGACGGGGCGGTTCTGCTGTGACCACACTGCCCAAAACAGAACCTCCACCCAGTAAAGGTACAGGGACCAATAAAGATTCATACTGGATTAAAATCACTCCTCAATTATTACTGTCAGACTGTAAAACTACACACACTGCAGATTCATACTGGATTAAAATCACTCCACAATTATTACTGTAGCTGTAAAACTACACACACTGCAGATTCATACTGGATTAAAATCACTCTCACAATATTACTGTCAGACTGTAAAACTACACACATGCAGATTCACACTGGATTAAAATCACTCCACAATTATTACTGTAAAACTACACACACTGCAGATTCATACTGGATTAAAATCACTCCACAATTATTACTGTCAGACTGTAAAACTACACACACCTGCAGATTCATACTGGATTAAAATCGCTCCACAATTATTACTGTCAGACTGTAAAACTACACACACTGCAGATTCATACTGGATTAAAATCGCTCCACAATTATTACGTCAGACTGAAAACTACACACACTGCAGATTCATACTGGATTAAAATCGCTCCACATTATTACAGTCAGACTGTAAAACTACACACACTGCAGATTCATACTGGATTAAAATCACTCCACAATTATTACTGTAAAACTACACACACTGCAGATTCATACTGGATTAAAATCACTCCACAATTATTACTGTAAAACTACACACACTGCAGATTCATACTGGATTAAAATCACTCCACAATATTACTGCAGACTGGAAAACTACACACACTGCAGATCATACTGGATTAAAATCACTCCACAATTATTACAGTCAGACTGGAAAACTACACACACTGCAGATTCATACTGGATTAAAATCACTCCACAATTATTACTGTCAGACTGTAAAACTACACACACTGCAGATTCACACTGGATTAAAATCGCTCCACAATTATTACAGTCAGACTGTAAAACTACACACACTGCAGATTCATACTGGATTAAGTGCTGTTGTTATCTTTCTGTCCAGTCGTGTCCTCTCAGTCCAGATTTGACGAGATCAGGAAGTCCAACCAGGCTGCAGCTCAGCGACTGGTGGAGAAACAGTATGCCTCCTCGTCTGAGGAGGAGGATGATGATGATGATGATGACGATGATGTTGAAGATGGAAGGCTTGGTAAACGAGGGACGATCCTGCAGTCGACGCTCACTGCGTACACCAACCAGATGGGTCAGACATTACACTAAATTCCTACAAATAAAGCAAGTTTATTACAATGAAATCAGATCTGTGCAGTGAAACATGAGCACACATCAACTCCAGACACTCTGTCAATGTTGATGATGCCCGTTTTGGGTATTTTTGGTAAATTAATTTCGCTGCTCTCTTTCTCAGTCTGATATCCGCAGGCTTGACTGTCAAATAGCTGCAGCTTGAGTGCACTAGGTGGCGCTGTGTGACTTTCTAAAGCAACACATGGCTGTTTTTGGTGCTGAAGCGTACTTGTTAATACGGCTGAGAGATTAACTGAGTTTTATTATCAGTTATGATTTTGGCTTCCAGTGATTATGAAAGTAAGATAATGGAGATAACGATGATTCTACTGCGCTCCATTTCGCAGTGATGCTCTCGTTTGGTCTTGTATAAATCCAGTGCTGTTCAGTTCCAGCAGTGCACTCACCCCTCCCTCATAGCCCAGCTCATCTCCTTTATTCTGGTCTAATCTATTTTTGTTTATTATTTTTATGTATGTTAATTAGTGTTCAGTAGGTTGTGGAAGTGCGTTTTTATTTTGATCTTATTTAATGTATTTTTTTCATATTATTTCACTTCATCAATTAAATGCATCTGTAGTTATAAATCAAATTTTATTTAATTTATTTTTAGAAAAGTTTTTTTTAAAGTTCAGAAAATACTGATGAGTAATCGTGTTAATCATGATCTTAAACACAGCATATAGTTGAGCGAGTCCTGACTGTCGATAGTCCGTGAATCCATGAGGTGTTCTAGGTGATGATGGTCTCAGATATAGGATGTCCAGTGAGGTATGGAGCTGTATGGACAGGTAGTGAGGGGGTAGCCAGCCATGTGTTCCGGGGCCTTTCTGTAATGGGGAATTTAGAGTTATCATTCAGTTCAGAAGTTCAGTAAATACAGTCTATATATGATACACGTTTCTGTTATTGTGGCCACAGGATATTGACTGGGTGGTCTGAGAGCCCAGTGCAGATTTCTGTATGTGTGTGGACGAGTGGATTAAAAGGAAGAAGAGAAGGAGAAAATCACACAATGGAAAGTCTCATCAGTAAAGCAGCAGAAGTTAGTTTACTGTGGCTGTTTTGTAGAAACAGGGGCTGCTAAGAAGACTAAAGCCTGTTTATATGATACGATCATTGTGTTCATGATGACTGTGTTATAAAGTGCAGCATTGGGTCGTTTATGCTTGTATTTGTATATAGTTGTATTTAATGTTGCAGCAGCTTCTCAGCTGTTAGTGAGGGTCTCGGTTCTCTGACAGGTTCTCAGCTCCAGTCCTGAGTGGAATCCTGTATGATCAGCTCCGTTATGTGACGCTCATTTGTTTTTATTGATTATTTATTTATTGATATTGCACAGATATTCACCTAAAAACATGACAGTCAGAAGTATCTTCGGCTGTTTTCACTCAGCAGCTAAAAGAGGCCCAGATCTGATCTTTTTCTTCATGTGTGACTCAGATGTGTGTCTGAGTGTCAGTGTGATCAGATAAACACACTGAATCTGACACTTTCAATTCTGATTTGAGACGCTTTCATATGTGGTACTGAAATCTGATACGTATCCGGTCTGCAGCAATGTGACTCAGTCTGAACAGCCAGATCGGAATTCATTGCAACTTTTACATCAGTCCAACTCCACATTCGTCATCATTTAGTGCTGCTGAGACTCAGAAACATTCAGGCTGATATTTCTGTACAAGAAGAGACTCATCACAGCCGCTCAGTGTTTGAAGAGGTTTCTAAAGAAATGTCCGAACGCGGCCGCAGGAGAACGCGGCCGCAGGAGAACGCGGCCGCAGGAGAACGAGGCCGCAGGAGAACGAGGCTGCAGCGTCAAAGAACAGGTAAAAGTCTGAAAGCAGAGTTTAAAGAATCCGAGGAGAACCAAAGAAGTGACCGCGCCCTTTTTACGGCTCCAACACATTCTGGGTGACGAGCCCAGCGGTCAGTCAGTGAAGCTTCATGATGGCTCCTGTGATGCTGGTGAAGATGAAGCTGATCCTCTGGGAGCGACTGGCGTTCGGTGGTGGTCGTGATTGTTGACCTCTGGATGAGCCGTGAAGCAGCGTGACGCTCTGATCTTTTGACCATGAGGGTCAGTTTAGGAGCTGATCTGTTCAGACTGATGATACAGATCACATTTAAAAGACAATCTGAACAGACAAACAAAAAAGATCAGATTTGGTGAGAGAATCAGATTTGGGCCTCTTTTACCTGCTGTCTGAATGCAGCCTTTAACACTCAAACCACACTTTTAAAGACCATTTCTTTAAAATCTAATATTGTGATGTTCTGAACGTGATAAGCAGGTGATTATCATGATCAAACTGTCATGTAAACGACAGACGCTTGCTTATATGTCTGTTTCTGACTCCAGTCCACTTTTTATCATTTCTTTCGTTTGCTTTCCCGAGGGGAGGTTCTCTGTGCTCAGTAAAGTGTGAGTTCTGCTGTAAACCTGGACGCCGTCGCTCTGTGAGAGATGAGCGAGCTGTTTTCTCTCTCCCTGCCTGCAGAGGTCAGCGTGGGTTCACACAGCAGGTCGTTCATGGTGTATTTAAACGCACTCCTCCTCTGAGGGGGTGAATAAATAAACACGCACACAGAAGCCTTTGTGCGAGCACAGAGTCACACGCTGTGTGTTTGGCTGATGTACGTCAGCGGTGGTGCTAAACGTTCTGCAGGATTCCAGCGTGAGGCCCCTCAGGTGAGGAGCTGAGGAGCAGCAGCGAGGAGAGAAGTGAAGTTGACCTGACCCGTCATGACCACAGCATCTCAGTTGATTAGTTGTCATATAAATCGTTATGGTTATTAATTTAGTTGTCTTTTCTTAGTGTTTTTACACAGTTATTGACGTCCAAGCGTGAAGTGGACACACTGGCTGATTATCTGTCAGCTGCAGCTCCCAGCAGTGAAAATACATGCAGAGCACTCTGGAATCCAGGCTAACAATTAATCAAACTTTACCAGGTCCTGTAATGTGTTATGGCACCAAGTCAGGACTCCTGTTGTTTTCGCTCTGGTGTAGATCTGTCACTCCACAATAAACACAGT